GATAGATAGATAGATAGATAGATAGATAGATAGATTAGATAGATAGATAGATAGATTACCACCGGGACAGGGGGTGAGAACGCAGTAAACGGGGTTGCCATTCGTAAAGTGGTGTCTAAAAATAGACATTTGGTATAATGGAGTCAGTTACTTTAGTTGCTTCTTCTTTAATTAATAGTGTGGGTAAAAAGAAGTAAGTGGTCTGAAAGCATCTTTTCATTGTTGTTGCTCATAAAGGAAAAAAGAAACCTTTTGGAACGTTTTTCGAAATGTATAATATTATTATTATTTGCCCATATACTTTGACATAAAATCTGCGTTTATTGCGTAGCAACTTAATAGCAATTCTCAGTGTATTTGCTGTAAATATCAGTGTGTAAGATGTCTAAGCAAAGTGTACCACTACTGCCTTTGCTGGAAGCAATTAGATTGTTATGGTAATTAAAGTTCTGGAATGTAAGTAGTTTTATGAAAGAGCAAAAATATCGTACAGACCAAAGGTGCGTCTTTATCAACAGCATCAAAAATCAGACACGAATTCATTTCTTGTCAAGGTAAGATTTCAAATTATTTATTTTCCGACTTACTTTTTCATTTCAATTCTTTATTTTTTTGTCTCCCCTTTTTGTAACTTTCCCCCATTTCTTCGCCTCTGACATTTTAACACTCTCTGTAATGAGCGTTTTGTTTTTCGTTTTCTGTTTCCCATCGCTTCATAGTACATTACTGACTGCACCCCATTATATTGAAGAGCAGTTACACTGGAGTTAGACCTGATCGCTACTAGAATTTATTTATCCACTATTATTTACATGTACATCTTTTTACTTCTACAAGAAAATATGGAAGCACAATTTCACATAAACTGGAAATTTAGTACAGTAAAGGTAACTCACTGACTCATATTAATTTAGCACTATTGATCTTGCACTCACACGTAATAATATTATTTATTCCTTGTTTGATACACTACTAGCTATATTTATTGGTTCATTCACCTTTACACTTAACGGTGTAAAATCATTTATTTTACTTTTATTAATTTGCTAGAAGGGGTCATGAAGCAGTTCTGTCACACATTTCACGGTTTCCGTAGACAGTACCAAGGTTTATTAATTTATTTTTATAGTATTTATATTATGTATTTATTTAGTTATTTATAATGTTCTATTGGACAAGGAGGTGAGGGTCCACGGTGTATTTTAATGTTGGGGTAATTCGTAAGAATTACAATGTTGAAAAAAAATTAGAATTAATTATTTAATGTTAATAAATTATCAAAGAATGTAATAATTTGGGAAATCCGAGGCATAAATTAAGAGTGCAGATATACTAATAATGAAGAGTACAAGTTATTTATTCTATAAACATGTGTCGAAAGACCAGTGGGTATTTTCCTCTCCCCCCCCCCAATCTCTCTCTCTCTCTCTCTCTCTCTCTCTCTCTCTCTCTCTCTCTCTCTCTCTCTCTCTCTCTCTCTCTCTCTGTGTCTCTCTCTCCCTCGCTCTCTCTCCTCCCTCTCGCTCTCTCTCTCTCGCTCTCTCTCTCTCACACACACACACACACACACACACACACACACACCAAACACATACACACACACGCGCACACAGAGCATACACATACATACACACACACACACACACAATACACACATTCTTAACGCTTCCTCACAGTTGTTTTCTACTTCTGTTGTCAATGTCCAGTTTTATTATTTTTTTTCCAATGCTATAAGGTATTAAACAATATTCAAACTACTCAGCTGCTAATCCACTATTTCTAGTTGAACGCACTGTAAGGGGCTTATTTCGCGTTCAGTTGAAACTGACAATGATTGTCCCTCATCTTTGTTTATAAGAAAACAATACTTGATTCAATCTTCTTTAAAAGTACGTTTAGTGATCTTCAAAATCCACAAAGAAAAGGTCATCCGCGAGAGAGAACGTTAATTTTGTTCTGAATCGAAAGACCCATTATATTAACGATGAAACATAGTTTTTTTCTCTAAATTTGTACACGAAAATTGCATTGTCTGGGGGCAGCAAGCTATAGCAGTCTGGTCGACGAGCGATACAAAATATTTTTTAAAAATCAGACTTAATTCTTGGTGACTAGAAAAGAACAGTCTGTATCCCATCGACGATTGCATCATATATTTTATCTTATAAAACAAAAAGGCCAAAGACCTGTCAGTTTTAACTGGACCTGTGATATCCCCTTTGCGTATTTTGGAATAATAAAAACAGAGCTACAAAGACACGCGCCAGTACCTAATAATGTTTTCTCAATTATTACAAAATTAACTTTAGATATTATACTGCCTGGAATGATTGAAATGAAAGAGATGGTAATACTTAATTTCACTAATACAAATTAAGAGGTGGTGGAACACCTGAAGGCTATTTCAGCTATTACAGACCCTGGAGAGCCCATATTTGCTGTGGGACATCATGTATCATTGGGGATTTAAAATATATTGTTTAAAAAGTCAATATGGTTCGTTTGCTTTGGAAACTGTGGACATATTGGATTTTGTTTACCTATAATGCCTTTAGATATAATGCCAGCAATGTTTGAGACAAATGAGATACTGTCTATTTCTGCCAGTGCCTGTAGTGATTGGGTTATTGTGTGTGCACGGATCTATTGGCTTTTAAACGTAGTCACTTCCGAGATCTCTTGCGGTTGCCTTTTCTTCTGCACGATTTCTCAAGCCTAACGCTTCTGAGTGATTACTACCAAGGTAGTAGCATTAAAATTGAGTATAAAGATTCGTATAGCCTATCTTCAAAGTGAAGTCTGTGGACTTTCTTTTTCTTAATGGTCAAAACGTTTTTTGTGTGTTTGCTTTACTTGTTTTTTCCCTTTCAACAATTGGTAAGTCAGACAACTAGGGTATGAATGAAATGCAAGTTGGGATTATGCTGTAGCCTGTCATGGCTCACTTTCCTTAATTAACAAATTATAAGTGACATTTCCACAGCCCAAAACAGGTTTATTTGCTTTGTCTTACAGTGGAGATATCTGAAATCGGAACTGCTATTAGTATGGAAAAGGGTTTTTGTCTCGAGTATCATTTTTCAGTTATAGTTCTTTCTCCCATTCCTTTTCATTTACACTTTTCTGACCCCATCTTTTTGCCTTCAGTTTCTCAAGTACCGAATGTTTCTCGCTCCCAACAAATGTCAATGACCTTGAGTGGATCTACTTTGATGTTTGTAAAACACGCTCTTGTCATTTTCCTTGTGATCTGCGTACATTGTTTTGGTGTGCCCCATGTCGTGTTGTCGTTTGCAATGATGACCCATTCACCATTACCTCCTTTCCACCCCCCAACCACCCCCATTCATGTGACCTTGACTCTGGTAACCTCATTTGACCCTTCTATCCTTCTTTGAACCCTTCACTCCATCGACCCTTCCCGACCCGATGACCTGATCCCTGAATTATTGCCTTGACCCCTGAATGACCCCTCTCCCAGTTCGGCGCCGTCATGCGCTGCCCGGTGACCAAGTTCATCACGCACACTACGTCACACATGTGCTTCCTCATCCTTCTGGCTGCTGCTACGTTCCGCATCACGGAGTCCAACGTCGCCATTACGCACACAGGTAGGTCAGTCCCAGCTACAGAACTCTACACAGAATCCTGTGGTCCCAGCTCAACTGAGAGTCCGGAACAGACTAGTTGGCTAAGTCAGACTGTAGGTGGTTGGTGGGTGCTCAGATGTGGTTTGCTTATTCTTTCCAATCAAACATCTATCGTCCTTATCTCTCTTTCTTCTTTTCTATGTTTGTATGTTTGTTACTCTCTTGTAACAGCTCTAATCTTCTGGCGCTCATATGACCTTATGCAGTTGTGAGCGCCGTAAAACCTTTACTAAAACTAAATATTGTCAGACTTCTAGCTTCATGTCGAAACAAAACAAAAAATCGACAAAAACTTCAAAATAAGAGGCAAAATGCCTGTTTCTTTTATTTCACTATTTCGATGAGCGCCTAGTTTCCCCATGATGCCCCACACATGGTATAGGTTTAACGCCTCTATCAACACTATAAGGTTATTTAAGCGACGGGATCTCCGAGTTTAACGTCCATCTCCGAATGGACGGAGCCAAATGGGAAATATGTGTAAAGTGCCTTTCCCAAGTACGCAACATCGGACTGAGCTGAGGCTCGAACCCCTGAACCCACAATCTCACGATAGCGAGTCTGGTAGTCTGACTACTTGGCTACTGACGCCACCACTGCTGTTTGCTTCACGAATTTTTTAAATATTTTTTTTTCTCGGGTATCACTTTTCAGTCATTGTTCTTTTATCTCATTAATGTTTATTTACACATTTCAGACCCTTCTTTTCTCCATTCTGTTTCTCAAGTACCGAATGTTTTTCGCTCCTTACAAATATCAAAATGACCTTGTCTATCGCAGATATGACACTTGATGATGATGATGATGATGATGATGGAGATATTTCCGATATTGTCCAAACCACACCAATACGTAACTTATAGTGAACACTTTGTTGCTGTGGCGTCATCACTCATTTATTTTTTTCTCAAATACTATGTTCCTGATGAAGCCTTATTGGCGAAACGTTAAACTGTGAAAAATATATATTTTTTGGAAATACAACAAGGTCTTAACTGTTTTAATACCTTCTTTATACAATGATGATGATGATGATGATGATGATGATGATGATGATGATGATGATGATGATGAATGATACGTTAACATAATTACCACAAATGTTAAACCTCCCCCAGATTTGTCACTGATCTCAAACAAAACAACAACAACAACACTTGCCTAAATGTTCTGTCACGTGCGACAAAAGCGACAAAAGCGACAAAATTGTCTCCTTTTGCGCGGCGCGACTGGCTAAACCCTCGAGCTCTGGTAGTTCAAAGAAGAGAGATATTGGCAAATTTTAATGTCAATATGTACAAGGAAGTACAAAGTCCTTCAGTTGGAGATCTATGAGCCGCTGACATTGTT